AAGAGTTACTACAAATTGTCACGGATTTATGTGATGAGTAATAATTAATTCGTCTGTTCCGCAGTGTTGTCATCATCATTATCATTTTTGTCGAGTACTACACGACCACACCTATCATCTACTCATATGCAGAAAATATAATACTTATTAATTATTTACATATCACATTTAAAATACTCGGTTAAACGCTGATTGTTATTGTTTTGAAACCTTAAGTTGCGTTATTTAGTGAATATTTAGCTCATTTAATAATTCATTAATAGAGAAGTGGTGGAAGAGATTCTACTCAAAACTACAAGTCCTCCTAATAATACAGTAAACCAGACATATTTTAATGGCAGTTCCAGAATTCCGTTCCGAGCTGGTAAAATATTTCGAATTCCGTTCCGGGAGTGATGGAATTTTTTCCCAGAGATGGAGCAGCTACGTTTGAATTCCGTTCCTCATTTTGTTCTAATAATTAGTAACATTCCTCTTTACATTTTAAGATTTTCTCCAGGTTTAGTATTATTGATATTTGACATCAGGCTATTTGTTTTTTAGATTATTTGTAATACCTTAAACGTAAAATCACAGACGAAGTATCAATTATATACAAAAACTAATGATACAAGTTGTACTATATTAGTTCTGTTATTATCTCTGTAATACAATAGAAAAAGTTGATGATATTCTACAATAGTATTAAATAAATGTATCTGGCAACTATTGTTTTCAGACTATAGAATAAACGCTAAAATTGCCAACACGCAAAAAACACGTCATACACTTGTTATATTACTAGTTACAGCAGGGGCGAAATTCAGACATAGGACCTAACCTAACCTAATCTAATGTAGGACATTCGGTATTGCACTTCAGGGTTTCGGGATGGAAAGCGGTACCAGCCATTTTAGAAATTCAAAATGTAAACATTTGTTTAATGAAAACTAATGATAAGGTATACTATTTTTAACTAATAAAGAATAGTAAAGAATCCATCGAAATCAAGTACAAATAGTTGGGAATAAGATAAATGAAATAAGATCCAGGGATCATCATATTATACAGGAAGACTGGAAGACAGAGCTGAAGGCAATTCAAACAAATAATGCTTTCAGAAAATAATAATTGAAAATAACGTGGATAGAGAAGGAAGGTAAATTTTATTTTTATAGAGATAATGGAACGTAGTTGAAACAGCAAAATTCCTGAAAAAAAAGACTGACATACTTTGCACAATGGGTGAGCCACTGTTTTAGGTGAGAATTTGGCAAGGTAGTATACCTATATAAAGGGAAATTTAATTTATATCTGTAATTTACAACACGATAAATCATCGCTAACGAAAAACGATTCGGAGCAAATTCTTTTTTTATACATGTTAAACAATTTTCTCGTTTTTCCTACGCTGGTTGTTCTCAATTATTATAAAAACCACTTGGGAAATAAAAATATGACATTATAAAAGAATGCTCAGATAAAATTTTCTTTCTGTATTTAAATACCTCCTTTTACCGGTTTATGCTCCTAATTTTTCTGATTGTTTAATACCTAAAACGTATTTTTTGATATGTATTGTTATACGCTCTCTTAACAAAACACCATCGATATGCTCAACTTAATTTTTTAACAGCAAACGTAACTTATGATGAACCTAGTATTAAATTGTCAAACAATTTGGCTTGCCTAATAAGTCATATTCACATAAATTCAATAATAATATGTAAAATACTAAAATGTTACAGTTATTATGATTTTCATTAAAATGTGAACTTTACTGCGTATACATAACATAATAACTACTACATTACGCTGGATTTTTTTTTTTTTACTAATATAGTGCTTTTTAGTTATTAGTTCAATTTCTGTTGAAATTTGTGTAAAATGTTCAAATATTAAATTATTAGATGCTTATAATAGTATAGTTTTAAATATGCCTGTGCCGATATATCGATTAATCGGTTTTCATGAACGATAGTATCAATTAATCTATATAATTAAGAAATCAATATGTATCAGTTAATCGGATATATCGATACATTCTAGATATAATTAAAATCGATGCATCGATATATCTTCAAAATATACTGATAGTATCGAACATAAATATATATCGTAAGTGTATAAACTGCTTCAAAATATATCGATTAATCCCAACAATCGATTATTTTGACACAATCGACCATCGAGTACAACAAATAACTAGTGCGCAGTTCTAGCTTAAAACTCGTCAGTATATTTACCGCGTCTAGAAAAGGCCAATATTACTACTTACGAAAAAAAAGTCCTAGGATAATGGGGACGAATGCAACCACTGTTGTAGGTAATTTCATGTATACCTGTAAGCAACGATAAACTATTTCTTACGAAAAAACGATTCTGAGCGGAGTTCAATTGATAGTGGTGCTTATCAAAAATATATATGTCACATTATAGTTAAAATATGCTTTTTATAGTATGTTTGTTTTTTTTTTCAGTAATAGCTAATCTACTCTGAGCACGAAGAACAGCCATTTTATGATACTCAGTTATTTTATGATTGCAAAAATTTTTTACGGTATCTTTCCATTTCGAAAAAGGAATTTTAACAAGAAAACCGGTAAAACTGAAATTTTAAATTTCGTTTTCCACTGGTAGGATATTCATACGATTTATCTGGGTACCATAAGACTTTAAAAATAGATACATTTTACTCATATGACTTATGAGTTTGTTTAAAATATTTAGCAATATCATTATCATTCAAATAAATTTAGTTTACTAACCGAACTTTCTTCTTTATTGTTTTCAACGGGCGTTAAAGAATTTGAAGTATTAGGTTCGTCTTCAAATCGTTTCCTTTCTTTTTTTATTCTATAAAAATGTTTTATAGTAGTGTTTTTTAATTTTCTTTTCCCATCACTCATATTGAACAAAAATGAATTACGTTTAAAACAATTAAATAGGTACAAAAATCTTGAACACAGAAGGAGAGTTCAAAAAAAAAAATGAAATTTAGTAGGTATTCACGTTCATCTAATTGTTGATCGGTTATTTGTGGATTAGGTATACATTTATCTTTACCTTCCGCTATTTTGTCCGATAATAGTTACTATGAAGTAGATAGCAACGATATTATTTACAATTACGTACCTATTAAATACATATTATATATGTGTATGAACGTAAGTACATTGCCCGTATGGCATATACAACCGTGTAATAAAATATAACGCGGTACAACACTAATTATTTTTCGGCATAAATGATTATTACTTACATTAAATGTTAAAAATATTAAAATTTTAATGGAGGGGTGAGTTAAACCTCTAACCTCCCCCCCCGTCGGTACGCCACAAGTATATTTATAACCGAATTACAGCAAACAAATTCCCGAAATTCTTTAAAAGCCCAAAAGAGGCTCAACATTTTTGGTGATGACACTGTAAGAAAGTAAATTAAAAAGGTAATAAAAAAGGTGTCTTGTGATTTTTCGATTAAATAATTTTTTTCTGGTAGAAAATGTCGTCCGTATTTTTATAAAATAATGAAATCGCGAAATTGTATATTTTCCTACGTTTTTCCCCACTTAAGTGCTTTTATTTAAAAAATGGCGTCGAAAATCAAAAAAATGATACAATCTAGATAACTTGATCTTTCAGAAAAGTTGTTACATGTAAAAATCGGAGCAAATTTACTTGGAAAAACGTGTCCACAGACTAAAAGAAATAATAAAAAAATAAACATCTTAGTATAACCAATAGCTTTTTCGCTACGCTCGGAATTTAAAAAGATTAAATTAACATCTTTGTTGAACTATAAGCTTCTTCGCTCCATTTAGAACCTGAAACAAAATATAAAATAATAAAACCGTTTTTTCCTTAAACGTTTCTAAATTATTACGAAAGGAAACAAACGATGACTCTCCGATGTATCGATTAAATTCAAAATGCTATAAAACGCTTTTTCTTGTCATTTTTTGATTGTAGCAAGATTTCTGGTAGAAATGTTATTAAAGGCCAGGAAAAAAAAATTAAAACCACTCACATCATAGCAATAACTAAAACATTTCTCGTACGTTCAGAATTAAAAAAACAAAAACAAAATGAATTACATTGCTATTGATAACCCTGGGTTTTTTTGGCTGCATCCGAGTTCTGTTCCAAATGTAAAATTTGAATTTAAGGATATACTAGTTCCATCCCGTGTTATTTATTTAGTTATACGAGTTCCGTCCTGTGTAATTTATTTAGTCACACGAGTTCCGTCCCTTTTGCATAATCTACATAATATTAGTATAACATTCAATTTACGACTACGTAAAAATTTTACATTATTTAGAAATAAAGATAATATTGCTTTCAGTTATCGCACCTAATAATCGAATATGTGTACATTAATATTATAATATTATTTGAATTTTTTCTGCATTTTAACATTAATAAGAAAAATGTCTATGTAAATTATTATTTTTTATATCATATAAATTTAATTCAATCACAAATTTTTATTTATGAAAGTATATTATACTACGTTTGAATTTTTTTGTACTTAAAATTTGGTACAAAAAAAAGGTTATTGGGACGATACTCGGATGCAGCCGTGTTTTTCGGTGGCGTTCGCTTTAAAAATCTTTCAAAATTAGCGAATCGCACTCGGCCTTTAATAGCCTCGGCGGAGGTTATTATTCGGTATAAACTCGTGATGTTGCAATAGGTAGACATCGTCGAGAATGTGTTTGTATAGGTGCTGAGCCATTTAGTAGTTATCGTGCGATAACTTCTCGTATCACACAGTCGGCCGGGTGCGTTAATGGCAACGTGTATACACCTTGGTTTATAGCATATAGGTACCTACACTATTATCATTACTTTTTTTTTGTTTTGTACCGGAGCGTAGTGCCCACCGGAGTAGTGACGTGTCTGACCGGCGACCTCGAGCGGCCCGAGCGTGCGCAGCTTACTGCACGGGTATCGAACGCGTTTCTCATGTTTACGTTTCCGCGGAAACTCCGGCGCAATGCCTCCCTCCCCGCCGTACGTGACGAACCGCGAATGCTGCCGCGCCGTTATTAGACCTGACGACCCGACCGACCGACGTGCAGTATCAGTCGAACGCTTTGCTCTGTCACGTGTAGGGCTTTCGCATCAGTGTCTGTGTAAGTTTTGTTCGGATTTTCTCGTGTTCGTGTCCGATCGTTATCTTCATATAAGCCGTTCGCCTCAACAGAATATTATTATTTTAATAATAATATTATGTACACGTCGTGAGTGGTTTGGAACATTAACCGTTAACCGACGTCAACCGTGCGAGGAAATCAACGAACGGACGAAATACTAAATATACTATTGTTAACTATCCGCTAAAATAACGAGCAAACCAGATGCATTTCATAAACGACGTGACCAAGTTCGTCTGCAGCAGTCTCCGGAACGAATCGACCAGGTTCAGGGTGAGTCGCGTTGACAGCCGTTTTATAATATTGTAATTTTAACGCAGTTTTTGCAAAAATTTAAAAAAATATTTATCGACGTAAATTAAATTTTTCGTGTACAATATTACAAGTAGCAATATTATTATCATAAGTATTCACAAAATCTGAAAAAGTTCACAACGATTTTAGAGGTAAAAGGATAAAACGCCATGATATTGTAACATTATTTTTAATAACCTTGTCGTCGAGTTCTCAAAAAAATATATGTATGTATACGAAAAACTGTATTTACAATTTTTTGTAGTAACATACTCAGTGGCGTTTTCGGGAATTTCGTACGGAGGTATGACGATGGCGACGATGACGTCCTCAGAAAATATCGAAAAATCTAAACAGCAAGGTCTAAAATCGGTATTCCAGCGATGTCGTGTAGGTATTCTGTAGCTTTTTTCGTATTGTGATTGGTCTTAGTAATCTCGGTATAACATTCAGTAGGTAACTAAGATGTATCACGGGAAATTTCCAGAATCTAGCTGAATTCGTCTTTTTTCTCGTTCGGGTTACAGTATGGTCAGTTGATTTTTTGGTGTTATCTGCGCATTAGCTATGTTCGTTTAAAAACAAAATATGTTAAATTTTGATAAGGAATACACAAGACAAATTATTATATGTGTCGAATCTACACAACAGTTGAAAATTTACGTAAAATTGTGTAGGTGTACTTTTTGTTAAAATGAACGAAACTAATAGAAACATAATGGAATTTAAACTTTTTTCGTTACATTTCGCTGCATCGCGACAATCGAGGGTCGCTTAAACCGATCAATAATAGCGCGAGGGACTCAATGGAGTAATTAGGACCTTTCTTTGAGGGGTGAATATAAATATTTGTCAAAAATATTAAGAGAAAATCATAACCAATACCTGTATATACCATATCACCATAGGTGCAAATCGCGTTTGAGATTTTAGGGAACTGAAGTCATGACTCTAGACCAGAACTGAGGTGTTTATTACAAAAGTATTCATCTCTTAAACAATTTTTACTCGTTACGCTCGATATCGAATATATTACACTTTTACCTAATTTCAGTATAAACAAACAACAAAATTTAGGTGCCTACTACACATTTTACGAATGCAATATTTCAACTATAATCTATAATAAAACATGTTTGTGGGGGACCATTAACTTTTTTGGAGAAATTAAGCACCCAAAGTCTTCTCTTATTTATGCTTATGTATATCACACAATCTTATTAACATTTAACATTAATAATAAATAAATATTGATATAATATACAGTTTTTCACATTTGATTTTATGTATTATGTATATGCCACAAGTTATTAGAAAAAAGGAAAAAGAAAGAGCTGATACTGGGGATGGGAGCGGCCACTGTTGTAGATAAGAAGTTGGGAAGGTAGGACACATAAGGTTATTTCATTTATATCTGTAAGCAACGATAAACTATTGCTTGATGAAATACTATTCGTGCCCAGCTCGGTAATACATAATATGAATTACCGTAATTTTTTGCGATTTTCGATTAAATTTGATTTCAAAACGCTTATTAAAAAAAAAAAAAAAAATCGTCTGATGATTGTGGAAATTTTACCGCGTCTAGGTAATTCCAATATAAGTATTATTACCAATTTTCAAGTTTCTACGTGTATTTATTACCGAATTACAACAAAAAAAATCCCGAAAATTCAAATTTTTTAAAAGCTCAAAAGTGGCTTAAAAGACTTTGATTAATTTTTTTTTTTGGTAGAAAACCTCGTCCTTGTTTTTATAAAATAATAAAATCTTGAAATTATACGTTTTCCTACGTTTTTATCCTATTTAAGTGCTTTTATTTGAAAAATGGCGTCGAAAATCAAAAAATGATCTATAAAAAGCACCATCTAGACAACTTAGGCCTTCATAAAAGTTGTTACACGTAAAAATCGGAGTAAGTTTATTAGGAAAAAGCGTGTCCACAGACTAAAAGAAAGAAAGAAAGAAATAATAAAAAAATAAACATCTTAGTATAACCAATAGTTCCCTCGCTACTCTCGGAATCTAAAACTGGTCAAATGGTCTGGTTTCTTGACTTCTTTGGAATTGATGTACCATTCACGTCACCCCTTTGAGTAATCCACTGGTGGTTATATAACTTACTATCCTGTGCTCGGTGTTCTCCGGATATTTATCGTTGCAAACGAGGTTTTTTCCCCCGATCTACGTATTTTTCCAACGGTTAGTTTATCACAGTGGATTGTGTGCAAGTATTCTTTGACCGCACAAAACATGATTATCGAGTCTCTCTTACCCGATGATAACGAATGATAAAGAAAAACCTATAGATTCGCATACCTATATGTAGGTTCCATTCAGACCTTGGCTCCGGGTAATTTGAATAGAGAACGTGTTTTTCGCAGCAGTCGTCGCCTTAATATTTTGTAATATTATTATGATTATTATGCAAAATATTCGTCTCGAATGAAAGTATATAGATATATGTTTTTGTTCACTTAATATTGTAAATATTATGGTTCGGAATTATGCTCAGATATTTTTTGAATCTGCAGGTTACACTTTTATCCGTCAGGTTAGGTTATATGGTAAATCGATTTAATATTATTTTTAATGTTCTAGGTTTGTAGTAGTAGTACTACTACGAGAAGAAATAATAATAGCCAACTATTTTAAAAGCTGATTGGATAACTATTTTTATACACGTCTGGTTTATCTTATGCAAATAATACGTTATTACTGTATTATATTCAACACGTATCGTCTGTTTTCACATCGCACGTTTTCGGGTCATTTTCCGTTTTGTCGATAACGATTATTGTAATCATAATAAACTTTCACAATAAAATTTTTAATCTACAACGGCAAATTTTGACTACAATAACATACTAGGTATAACAAGGTACATAGGCGTACTCAAGGGGGGAGTTATGGGGTTTATTCTCCCCTCATTAGCCTTTTTTTTTACAATCAATTTGTTTGAAATTTGTGAGGGATGTGAAAATTTATTGCCTCATTGTATAGATTATATTTACAATTACAATATAAATATATTTGTTGCACCAAAAAATGATTGATAAATTATTAAAAATAAAAAGTGCATTAAATTTTGTAGTGTTTTTGTTTTAGATTCTGAGTGTAGTGAAGAATGTATTAATTTTACTAAGATGTTTCTTTTTTTTCCCTTTTTTTTTATACTGTGTACAAAAATTCTACTAGAAATCTTGCTCAGCTGTATACGATATAGACTCTTTTCTGAAAGTCAATTTTCTTAGGGTATTTTTTTGATTTTCGCAGCAGTTTTCCAAATAAAACCGTAAAAGTGGGAAAAAACTAAGAAAAACGGGAAATTTACGAAAATAATGCTTTGAATATTTTTACGATTTTGTTATTTGTTGTAATTCAGTTAAAAGTGTTCCTAGGGACATTGGACAATCATATTTTATTTGCCTTTTCTAAACATGGTAAAATTTTTAAAACAATAGAGGTATTTTTAGGCTTTATATAAAAATTGTAATATTTTAATTGAAATTCTGTTAAAAATATTCGTATCGATTTTATGAACCAGAACTTTAGACAAAAAATTTATAATTACCTTTTCTAGACGTGGTGAAATTTAAAAAAAATTTAAGTCAATTTTTAGTCTATTTATAGACATTTTAATTTTGAGAGTTTTATAAGTAATTTTTATTCGGTTGGTACTGTGTGGTAAAATTGTTAGACTAAATAGAAATGCGTGAACATTTAAAGGGAAGTTCATTAAAAGTCTTATTTTGTTTTTTTATTTTTAAATTTTGTTATTTGTTGTAATTTAGTTAAAAATATTCGTAGAACATTTGGACAGAAAATTTATATTTACCTTTTCTAGACGTGGTAAAATTTTAGCCATTTTTGAGCGCGTAATTTTTAGTCGGTAGGTAATAAAAATTGCTTTAAACAGAGGATATCGGGAAATTTACGAAATTAATGCTTTTTATTAGTTTACATTTTGTTATTTTTTGTAATTCAGATAAAAAGAGACTTGACATTTGGACAGAAAACTTATATTGGTCTTTTTTAGACCTGGTAAAACTGTATAAATATTTGAGCCCATATTTGAGCCACCTATATATAGACATTTTAATTTTGTGAGTAATTTTCATTTGGTTGGTACTCCGTGAATAAAATTGTTAGGCTACACAGAAATGCTTGAAAATTGAACAGGAAATTAATTATAAGTCGCGTTATTTTTTTTTAACCTGTACATCTGATATTTTACTTTAAATATTTTTTAACTAAAAACTTTCTTCACCTAATAGAATTTCGAAATATCGAATTGAATCGTTCCATTATCTCGAAAATGAAAAAAATGTACTACCTACTACGCTCCTTGTTCCTTGTGCCTTTCATAGACTTTATTAAAACTGAAGCTGCTAAAGTTCATTCAAATATCTAATAAAATTAATACAATATAATAATTATAATTAATATAATTATACAATATTAATACAATTATTACCAATATCAAGGGCCTATTTATGGCCCGAAATTTCAAGAAAATTTGTTTAAATTTGCTTATGTCCTATTAGATGTAAATTGTAAAAATTCAATATAATATTGTATTAAAAATGTTAGTAACAAGATATTCATGTAATGTAGTAGTATGTCCAATAATTTTGATCGTAACAATCACGACTTTTAGTCCGGTACATATAGTACTATTGACTTGTAATCTATGAGAGAACGTAATTTGACGTGCGGTACTGCTACATTATCGTAACTTTAATTTGTTTTACCCAGAATCGATTGACTGATACACATACGTCTCCGTCACCACGCAGTCAGCATGCGAGTTAAAAATAATTCCGAGTAGTTGACTTTATTATCGCCGAAAAGTCGTGACGGCGACGATCGGTAACATGATGGTCAGTTTTCGTCGTATAGTTTTTATCGCTTTTATAGTTTATTGTTAGGTACTATTTGTTGTCCGATAAATGCGTGGGCTAATTACCCAACTTAAATGATATTATTGAAACAGAGTATGAGCTAAGTGGGAAAATATTGAAGTAAACTACAACTGCTATAAAGGCTTTAAGTGCTTGAGATAATTTAATGCACCCAAAAATGTATAAGTTACTAAAAATACTAGCTATTCTAGTATCCACCTAGAAGTAGCTACCAGTACTACCAGTAGCTACTGCTGAACGCAGCTTTTCGACGTTGAGAAGATTCAAAACGTATCTAAAAAATACAAACTCAGAATCTAGGCCAGTGGGACTTGCATTTTTAGCAATTCATCGAGACATTGATAGGTACACGATGAAATGTTATTAGACAAATTTGCCAACAGTGGCAAGGAAAAAAAAATTTTAATTTAATATAATTTGTTACATTACCATTAATATTATAATTATTATGTATTCTATTTGTTTATTAATTTTGTGAAAATATTTAAGACTATAAACAAAATTAAAATTGTTTAGTAAATTTCTTATTCTTGTTTTTAATATGTTGAATTTGGGAATTTACCTTGGAGAAAATACCCAACCTCTCCTAATAAATATCTAAATACGCCCCTAACCTAGGGGTACCATTTCAGTTTTAAAATAGGGCTACCAAATTTTTAATCAGGTCAAATTTATCCACCACCAGACCACAGTTGATAACAGTGAAATTTAGGAGTCATTTAAGACTTACTAGAGATGAATTCATCTAAAAGCAAAAAGCTTTTTTCATTTGCAAAAAGCCTACAATAATTAAAGTAGAACCATGTATACTTATGAATTTCTATCTCTTAAATTAAATCAGCAAGCATTTGTATTTATATTGGCCATTATGTCATTATTTTGTTATCAATTATTTAGAGAATCGCACATTTCTGATTTTTGCTTTTGTCGATAAAGGCCTCAACTCGTGTTGTTTCGTTTTGTATGTTTTGAACACGACAGGTTCCTTTTTGATTGCACGAAATAATTTGTTACCTATCGTTCTACCAACATAACCATTTACCATTCATCACGTATTTTACTTAAAATATAATATCATTATTATATTATACCGACCTATCATTTAATGAATACTTATTATTGTTTTGCTATCAGTATTTCACTGTCTCGTCTGTTTTGTACTTATTAAATATGAAATGGAATTATGTAGCAATTGTGATAAATAATGAATATAAATTACGAGTAGAGCAGTAAAATGAGGATATATTATTCTGTTGAATTTGGAAGAAAGTACAAGATAAGTTTAATTTTTTATAGGGCGTAATTTACCATCACAGAGTTCATATTAAATTATTAAACGACTAATTAATTTACATTAATTTTATTATTAAAAAACGAAAAACACAAGGAAAATAACTAGTTATTAATAATAAAATTAATTCTGTTGTAAATTTGTGATCATAATAACTGATATGGCGTTATCAGCTATAGGTAACCAGCACGGCCACAAGTTGAATTTATTCAACTCTGCGGTAGCTGCGGTAACGTATTGCCGTATTGGTAAACACCACGATTAAATATATATAGATATATAGGTAGACACGATCAAAATGTATACCACGATAATATGAACCAGTCGGAGGAGAGTATTTTACACGCAACAAAATAATACGACAAGTAGGGGATTCCTCTTAACGCTCACTATTGATAGCTTAACGAAATTATTCGATAAGTACTGTTATCGAGTTACAGAATTGAGTTTTAATCGAGGTCCATTGTGTTGTATCACGTTTTTATGCATTCCATTATATATCATTGAATATGTACGTTAATATTTTAAAGTAATAGCACTGACAACAGGTATATAAATTAACGATAGTTCTATTTTAATTCTTGAATAAATAACACATTCTTAGAAGTTACCTAATAAAACAGTGATAAATAGAATTTTTAAATTTTAAACTATGATTATAATTTTACGACTATCTAGTAATGTCAACTACAATAAAGATTAAAATAATATATTATTTTAAAATATTGTAATTATATTTTAGCTGTAAGTATCGGCGTCAAAATAAAATTGAGGCAGTCTAATATGATACGGAAAAAAATAGGACCGCCAATGTATATCCTGTTATACCCCAAATGGCGCCCCTGCCTTGACCTATATATTATATGGATATTTTTTTTATTTTTGTCTATTTTTGATCCATAACTTATTGATCCAAAAACTTATTGATCTCTATATTTTTCGTGGGTATAGTTATTTTTCTTAAATCGTGTTTTTTACAATACCTATAACTTCTCATCGATCGAATATTGTCCATTATAGTTTCAATATGCCAGTAATAATAGTTATATTTTATACTATATCTGAAATTAAATATACTAAGCAATCATTTATTATCTACCAGTTAGGTTTTTTTTAACGTTAATCAACATTATATATAATAAATGTATGTGCACATATGTGTCATGTATGTATGAATGTATATATGCATGTATGCTAAACTGGTCCTTGGTTATAAAAGAAATAAAATTAAAATTATAATTTTTGTTTCAGAGCTCCCCCTTCCTATTTTTTCATTACTCTAAAAAAATAATTTAGGTTAAATTTGGTGATGATTACTCACCACTTTCTCGTGCCATAAGAGGATTGAAATTTGAAAAAGAGTACAGTTTTATAGTTTTTTGAGTTTAACTCAAAATATATAGCACTTAACGCATAAATGTATAAGACTTTAATTGTAAATTATAGTTAAAATATTGCCTATACAAAATGTATATATAATTTCTCGTAATATAATTATATCATCTATAATATTTTGTTACTGTTTTTATTTTCTTGTTACCTGCATGGGGGACAGAAAATATCGTTTTCATAAATACTTTTTAGTTAATAGTTTATTCTATTTATTTATTTCTTAAAGTTTGTGTTTGTATACAGTGCAATAAATAATTGTGTACTTATACCTACAAACATAATTATATTATGCAATGATTGCCATACATTTTGTCATTTAAATTGTTGTGTTCGTTTCATAGAAAAAAAAAAACCGACTGAGTAAATTTCTCAAGTTGTTTTGCACATTTAACTAGTGATAAAAAAAAGTATCCTTTAATTTACTACCATGTAAATATGGACTATTCAAATTGTCACTTTACTTTAATCGGCTTATTAGCTCTTTAAGAATAAATATAAGATATGTGTATTATAATACTTTTCGCCAAGTAGCCGATATAATTCTGTTTGAATTACGTAGCATATTTATTGTTTTAATAATACAGGGTGATGTCCTCTAAAGATTCATCCAATTTCAGTAGGTTATATATTTTGAACCTGTAGTCTTTGGTGAACCACCAACCACTTTAAAAAGTGGATCGCCACGTTTTTTCCACTATCAGTAAATTTTGTTAAAGTGTACAAAGTGAGCAGAGTAATGTTTAATTTCGGGAGGGAGGGAGCTAAAATAATCATTTATTTATTTTTTTAACAATTAAGAGGTGCTATGGTTGATTTTGTTGGTTATGTCCCTCTAGCTTCCGCCAATCTCTGTCTATGACTCATTTTCAGAAATACCTTTATTTAAAATTTTTGTGTATATTTTATGTTCATCAGGATAACTCTTCCAGCAAATATTTTGTATTGTTGTTTTAGATACTTTGAAATTTATCCTTATACAAAACTGGTGACGTATACATAGCCGTAATAGAAGTTTTGTTTATAAATTAATTTACGACCGTATCGTTTTATATGAAAATTGAAAATTTTGGACGATTTTGTAATTTTTCCGTTTTCACCCGACTCACAGTTGTATATTTTGCAAATATAATTAAGTCTCCACCGTCCAGCTTCTTTAAATATTTACAATATTATTGTCATCGTATCGTGTCTGCGGATATTACAGGTTACTTATTATATGAGTATTACAATGTATATATGCGTAATGTTAATCGTTGTAATTATTATTATGTAAAGTCAACTAAGATACTTCGTATAAAGACAAACAATAAGCAGAATATTATGTAATTTATCTTGAACTATAATTATAGCGTAATTTTTATTTGGATACCATTATTCAGTATTCATTGACATAATTTATTATTATCGATTTTCAGTGTATAAGGCGGTACTGTCGGTAAATTTTGAAATACATATAGAAACCTTTAAATAATACAATTAATATCATTGTTCCCAAGGAAGAATGACTGAAGTTAATTTTTGGTATTTTTTTTTTACAATTTTGTCTCATGTAATTTTTTTTCTCTTTATTTTAGATACTAGGTGAAGCGAAGAAGCTTTAAATTTTACAAAGATGTTTATTTTAATTTTTTTATCTGAACAACTTTTCTACCAGAAAACTTTCTCAGATTTTCAAGAGTAGCACCTTTTGTGAAAAGAGCGTGGAGAGGTACTTTAAGGAGGCCATTTTTTGATTTTCTCAGAAGTTTTTCCATCAATTTGTATTTGGAAAACAGAAAAAAAACGGGAAAATATAAGAAATGTTGGTATTAGTTAAAATATATATTACGGCTTTCTTTCTTTCTGTGCACAACTTTTCTACCAGCAATTTTGCTCCAAATTTTAATGACAGTAATGTTTCTAAAATAAAATTTCACTTAGGAGGTATTTTAAAGAGGTAATTTTTTGATTTTTCCAATAATGTTCTCAAAAAGTGTAAAAAACCAAGATAAAAAATGAGAAAAATGGGAAAAACGTAGGAAAATTGGGAAAATCGGTACACATTAAACAAGTATTATTAAAGAAAATTTATAAAGCCTTATTAATTATTTTACTATAAAATCACATATATATATATTGTTGAAAATACATCACTATCAAATGAACTCATCTCAAAATGGTATAAATGATTTATCGTTGCTTACAAGTATACATTAAATTATCTATAATAGTGGCTGCACCTGTCTCCATTTTAGAACGTCTTTTTTTGGTCCGAGTGGTATAAGAGTAGATAATGTATGTATTATTATATTATATTTTAATACATGTTGTGTTGAAAATTAAAATATCTTAAGTTACTATATAAAATTATAATGTACTTTTTGTTTGACAAGAGGCATACCGACATATGTTGTGTTTATTACACATATCTAGGTAGAAATTTAGTTATTTTTCAATAATTATGTTATTATGTCATTTAGCTATTCTCCAAATTTAAATTGCTTGTATTGAAAACTGTCCTAAGCCGGTCTATTTTCCTGGTATTAAAAATGTATAATATCAGATAAACTGGAAATTTACAAGCAGTGTCATGTATGAGAAAAAATTTACGAGATGTTAGTTCAAATTTATATTAAATAACCTTTAAGTACACTCTCTAATTTTTAGTTCAAACTTATAAACACAATGTTTGACTAGAAAAAAAATGTCGTGGGATTTTCAGACCCCTGAATCTACACTATATTCAGAGACGTTTTTACTCACAAAAATTATACATAACTAATAATAAATTAACCGATTACCAGTAGGTAGCTAATATACCTATATTATTAGTCAATATTATTTTTCATATCATCGCGTTTATAATAGTGTTATTAGTCAACCTCCAAAATCGGTATTTTTTTTTTACATGTCTACCTTGAAAAATGTTAAAATTATACAGGTATTGTTATTTTTGTGTCGTAATCGTCCGCGGTTTTAAATTTAATTATTTCGTTATACCTAATGTATATCGACTTTTCAATGTTATCCATATTAAACCTTTGGTGAAATTTTGCTATCTGTTGCAGTAATAATTTCGAAGAAAAAAATGGTATTCATTAATATGATAATAATTATCTATTCGGTCGATCAAGTAGATTTCAATATTAAGAAATTATAAAAAAAAATAAAACAATGTCGATTGAACACGAAGGAGAAAACTTTTAATATACATACATTTAATCTATGATTTTTTTTCTTTTCATAATTTTCGAACACCTGCATTTTAAAAATAAATACAAAAATACAGCTGTTAATACCTATACGTATAGTAATTGTAATTGATAACTACAACGAATAATTATAATAATAATAAAACCGCTTAACGCTCGACCTTCAAAATTATTATATATTTCAAACATTTGTATTTGTTAAATTTTGCGTCGCGACCTCGCGGCCGGGTCTATGACTTGAATAATTTTAACAACACACGTGACTGAACATAATATTAATGTATCTATCTACCTAATAAATTATAAAAAATACATAACCACTCTATATTTTAAAAACCATTCGTTCATCATGTCATTAGAAATTATAGTCAATTATTTAAAGAATTGTACAGTAGTAACATAATATGTGCACTGTGTACATGCTGAATGAGATTCGTACAATATATACTATGTAAAATATTAACTACCTATCCGAGTTTCAATGACTCGCGCGACGAGATTCACTGTAATAATATATTTTACATGTTAAGAATTTTGTAGACACAACTATTATCGTGTATGAAAATTATTGACCCCGCGAAATATAAATAATATAATATATTTCACTCGCAGTCTCATTCCGCGTAATTGCAATTCTATTGAAATAACTTAAGATTTGTGTCTAATTCCGTCCAAAATAAAGACTATTGTGCTCTGTATTGTGTCAGTTATTTTTTTTCTCTTTCTCCAGTTTTTCAAAAGTCATTAGGGCTCATTACTGCAACATATACTTACTTCTATGAGCGTTATCATGGGAGAGGGAATATGGTTAATGGATCCCCAATGGCCTTTTTTTAAAAAATTAAAATTAATTTTCATTTTAACTGCTATTTTGACTAGGAGTGGTGTATTAAGCCGAGAAATAAATAAGAAAATTCCTGCTGCTGATTATAAAAAACTTCTTTTACAAGATGTTAGTTATTTTGTCACGAAAAATTCGATGAGCCTTTTCAATTATTTTAAACTGAAACTGAAAGTTTTTTAAAAAATCTTGATGAATGGAAGCAGGACGTAAGTTACAAAGAATATTTAGATATATTAAAAGAATTTAAAGTTGTAAATGATGTTGCTAAGAGAGAAGTAAGTCTCATGCAAGAGTTCAATAACTGTCTTACACGATATGAAGAGCAGCATTAGTTCATTCTTCAGTTTGTAAATCATACCTGAAAATATAACCCAAATGTACATAAAAAAATGTACAAAAATGATTATATACATCAGTTTTTTTACAGATAATTTGGTTTCTTACTTTATTTTGTTTAAAACTATTTAAAGATGCTTTCAATTCTAAGTTCTTTCGATTACTTATTTTATCACTCGATTGTTTTTTTTTTTTATCAAAAATGCAGATTTTTTTTAAATTTTCAACTAATTATAGTTTGCTAATCAATAACCAAAAACCGATATTAAGGTATTTTCATAACTTACAAAATGAACCTTATTCGAACATTTTTGGTCGAAAAGTGACTGAATTATGTAACTTTATCCGAATAAAAACGTTATAAAACTCAATTTTGATAGATTTCTACGAATGAGTTATTTTTATAACAGTAAAATTTCACTTGATTTCTTATGTATTCTTTTGTGATCTTTAAGAAAAAACTATGTTTACGATCTCATAACTTTTGAACTAGATGAATAAATGCGATTTAATTGAAAGTATCTTTAGTTTCCTATATGTATTATTTAAATGAAAAAACTAAATATGTTGAGCAAGTTCTACACATTTCTTTTTTGAGCTCAAATTTTGTTTTTGATTAACTTTGAGACCACAAGGAAACAATTTCCAATCTTAATTAAAAAAAAAAAATTCAATTTCAAATCAGCAAAATATATATAATTTATACATGTATAATGTATATATAAAGTTTTTGTGATAGTATTTTATCGTCATAATATTCAGTTATTTATTGTTTTGCAAAAAAATGTTTCTGTAATGCAAAATAGGTGGTAAAATATTTGACTCTAACGACGGAGTTTTGCTGCTCATTTATGTTTTTTTTTCAGTTTTCTATCTAAACAAGTTTACTTGATACTTTTATTTAATCGTTTATTTGTTTCGTCTTTATAGAGCTATGCGGTGGAGTGCGTTTATAAGTATCCAACGAGAGTTCGAGTCGTCGAAGTGGGACCGAGAGACGGACTCCAAAACGAATCTAAAATCATACCGACGGACGTTAAAGTAGAGTTCATCAACAGACTATCCGCGACCGGACTTAAAAATGTTGAAGCTACTAGGTACATTTTGAGTAAAATCCGAGTGTTTTTTTTCGTTTATTCTAACATTTATTTTGATACAATTTTAGTTTCGTTTCACCGAAATGGGTACCCCAAATGGCCGATCATTCGGACGTATACAGCAAAATTAACAAAGTCCCCGGTGTCTCGTATCCAGTTCTAGTGCCGAACATGAGAGGTCTGCTTACAGCAGTACGTATATTAAAATTATTTGACGGTAAAAACAATAAACAGTCACCTATAAATAGGATAACTATGTGCCTAAGATCTAAATAACACAAAAAGAATCTAGTTGACAGGAGATTTAAACTATGGGAAATAATTTGCCTATAATTATTATAGTTGCTAAAGAGATCTAAATCACTTAGATTCCCAGTTAGCTAGATCCTCATGAGTCAATTAGTTCCTCACGAGATGTATAATTAACCTGGGATTTATAGTTTACCAAAGACCGCGATATTTTTTTGCTAACGAAACCGTTTTTATAGATGCAACACGATGTCAAAGAAATCGCTGTATTTGGATCCGCCTCTGAAGGTTTTAGTCGAAAGAACATCGGTTGCAGCGTAGCCGAGAGTCTTGAGAGATTCGAAGACGTGGTATCCACTGCTTTAGACCATGGTATCAAAGTCCGCGGATACGTTTCCTGTGTTTGCGGATGTCCGTACGATGGAGCTGTGTCACCCCAAAACGTTGCGAGGGTAAAATGATACACCTTTAGTACCTTTTATATTCTTTATAAGTTTCTGGAATTATACATTTGAGCAATCTGCTTCAATTTGAAGTGTGGTGGGCGATACTATTTTGTGGGTCGAAAGTATAATAGATACCCAAAGTAAATCTTTGGTATTTTTCATTCATATACAAAATATTAGTATTGAGTCATTTATAAATTAAAGTTAAAATAAACTAGACGATCATTGATTTTTTTTTTTTACAAAGAAATGGGTTCAATAAAATAAATTATTGAACTTTTATATAAACTTTTCAGTTTATCAAGACACTGATGTGACCACAGGTGGGCTCGACAGCGCGAAAAATGGTATTCTATCTATCTGTAAATAAATTGGTTACGGATATCGTTTCTTAGACTAAAACCGGGGTCACTCCACTGGGAGTGAGACTTCTCACATGTTTTTTTTTTGTTTATATTAATACACCAGAAGTATTCATGTACACTTTTGAAATGTATTTTTAAAGATTTTTAATCATTATAATAAAACTTTTGGGCAGTTAAAATTAAATAAAAAAAACTGATACCGTAACATTGTAACAATATGAATGAATATTTTTTTTCTGGAAAAAAAAACGTTTAAACGAATGAAAACAGAGGATAGCATGTAGGAAATTGTACCTACTTAAAAAAAACAATGATGGGAGCGGATTTAATATAATTTTAATTCTTGAGCAGGTTATATCCAAGTCTGATGGACTGTAATTGTTGTAATTATTTCATTGTCCTATACAAATGGAATCCGATGCAAATATCTCGAATAAAATTAAAAATTAATATTAATCCAGACTATACATTTAAATTTGTGAACACTTTAATGGGTAGTTGAGTGGATTCCAAAAAATCATTTAGGATTTCTAACTGTATTCACGTAGCAGTACGAGAGTCGAGAATACTAATAAAATTGTGTTTAACGCTTTTAGATGTCGCATGCGTTGTTTAAAATGGGTTGTTATGAGATTTCTCTTGGTGACACAATCGGTATTGGCACACCAGGTGCAATAAGAGCAATGTTACAAGAAGTCCTGAACGTGGTGCCTGCCGAAAACTTGGCTCTACATTGTCATGACACTTATGGACAGGCTCTGTCTAACATACTCACTGCTCTTGAGGTATGTCCACTATATTAAAAATCAAATACGTATCATTATAACTTTATTGCACGAGTAATATTCCATTATACTTTATTAAATATTTGTTTAGACACGTTTAACGACTTAAAAACTTAAATTTTACTTTTTAGTTACTGTTACAAATTAATCTATAATAACTAAAACAATATTAATTGTTTTTAACTTTCATAAGTAAATATTTTATACTTATTGTATATTTAATACCCAAATTTTACAATGAGTTTTATATATAAAATACACCTGTTAAGACCTGCTTGACTATTTCGCACTGTATACAACTTAACAGGCAGTTGTGTGAAATAGTTTTTTTAATCCTAAATTATCATTATTATCATTTTAGATGGGTATTTCGGTATTCGATTCATCAGTGGCTGGTCTCGGTGGCTGCCCATATGCTAAAGGAGCGTCCGGTAATGTAGCTACTGAAGATTTGATTTATATGTTGCATGGCATGGGCATTGAAACTGGCGTGAACATGGATCAGCTGTTGAGTGCTGGTCACTATATTTGTGAAGAGCTGGGGAAAAATACAGAGTCCAAAGTGGCCAGAGCGCTGTCCGGTAAAGATAAACCAATGAAATTCCTGCAATCCTATAAAAACCAGACTGTGGCTGTGCTAAATAAATAATAAAGAATGATCATATCTACCATATGTACCATATTATACCTACATTATATACTGTTCAATTTTACTATTATACTATTTATATTTAATAATTTTTTTTTTATTTTTTGGTTTTGTATAGGTGTAATATAATTTGGTACATTTTTTTAAAAAATAATTATTGACATAAGACTGAATCTATTATTATTTTGTTTTAGTCTTAAACTATATCGTGTATGTATTTTTATATAATTGAATATTATTATACAATGTATTATAAATTACCTATTACATGCAGTTATTATCGTGACGACATCAAATACAATATTTTAATAACGGATAAACATAATATAATATACGAGGTGTGGCTATTAAATAACGAGACTGGTTACGAAAANGTGTTTTATTATAAAAATTATTCTACATTCAAATGCTCCCCTTCAATATACTCCCCTCCTCTCGCTACACTCCTTTCCATACGTTTTTTCCATTGATCAAAGCAGTGCTGGAAGTCTTCTTTGGTGAGGGCCTTTAGGAGCTCTGCCGTTTTTTGCTTTATCGCTTCCATTGACTCAAATCGGGTCCCTTTCAAAGCAGATTTTATCTTTGGAAACAAAAAAAAGTCGCACGGTGCCAAATCTGATAAATAGTAAATTTGGTTGACAGTCTGACCCTCTAGAATCCATTAAGTCATCACGATACCGTAAATGTCAAAAAAAGCGATCAACATTGCCTTAAATTTTGATTTGGACATCCTTGCTTTTTTGATTCTGGGCGATTCAGGTGTCTTCCAATGCATCGATTGTCGCTTTGTTTCAACATCGTATTGAAAAATCCATGTTTCGTCGCAAGTTATAATGTTTTTCATCAGTCCGGGATCTTCTTTTAACTTTTCAAGGAAATCTGAGCAGACCTGTTGACGCAAGAACTTTTGGTCAGGAGTCAGGTTTTTTGGCACCAACTTCGCACAGACTTTTGTCATATGTAATTCCGCATGTAAAATTTTTCTAACCGTTTCTTTATCGGCGTTTACAGTCTCGGCAATCATCCGGATGCTCATTCGACGATCTGCACGCACAATTTGGTTGATTTTGGTCACTGTTTCCGGAGTTGAAACAGTGACAGGGCGACCTGGGCGCTGGTAATCTTCAGTGCTTCCTCGGTCCTCACTAAAGCGCTTATACCACTCAAAAACACGTGCACGAGATAGAGAATTCTCTCCATAGGCCTCTTGCAACAATTTATAGCACTCGGTCGGAGTTTTTTTCAATTTAACGAGAAATTTGAGATTGATACGTTGCTCCTGTTTTTCGTCACACATGGTTTTCGGCACGAGAAAAAAAACACGTTCGTTTCAAACCACTACTGCACAAATACTGTAATAGAGACGAGAACGTGTTTTGGTACGTGCATAGATAAGATATCTATATACCCAACGAATCACTCGTTTTTTTCACTACCCATTTAGGGCGCCCTCTAGGCGAGCAGTCTCGTTATTTAATAGCCACACCTCGTATAAACACTTCGTTTCCTTTCAGCCCTAAACTGATGAGCGTAAAAATTAAGTTTTGTTTTCTTGATAATACTAGTATAAATTATGTATTAATGTTTATATATTATGTGATTAAAATATTATCTGACATGTAATATAATATCATATGGTTTTTATAAACATCTATTCTTACTAAATAATATATTTAAAATAAAAATCAATGTCTATAATGATTATTTTATTATGTATAGTATGTTGATTGGTATTATACTTGTTATAGTTGTATAAAAGATAAGTCACCGAATATATTCTATTTATATTATGTTGTATAAACAATAAAACCTCAATTATTCTTCTGCAACTGGACCAAGAGAGTGACGGATAAAAGAAAAAAATATTTTTATATTTATAGTTATTATATATTAATTTTTATATCAATCATATTAGTATATTTAAAAAAATAAAATAAAATTCTCTTGTTTCTTCACAGCAGATTGATTCAACCATGCATTTTTCTGAGTAAAATAATGTACTGGTGAAACATGAGTTTTTATATTTTTGAATGAATTTAGGTTTTTTTGATTTTCCAATAACTAATAATGGAAGTTTATGATTACCACTAGTGATCTAGCAAACCGTCAAAGTAATTCGTTCCTTTCATATTTTAAATCCATGAACTGATGTTTTAGAATTCGAAGCAAGAGTTCACTGTGGTAAAGCTTTCCAATTTAAACCTGTCTTATTCTCATTGCAATTATAAAATTCTTCGTTTGTCAGTTCTCATTTTTTTATTTCAAAGTTATATTGTTTTACATAATCAGTGATGACCACATTATTAGCACTAAATTTTTCTCCTTCTATTAAAATTTACCTAATACCATTACGTGATTTAAATTTGTCTAATCATCCTGTACTGATTTTGAAATCAAGATTACCATTTAATTTTCTATTCATAACAAGTGGTTTTTCCATTATTATCGGACCTGTTAATGGAATACCTTGACTGTTTCACAAACCACTGAAATAAAGCTTTATATAAATGGTAGTTGACAGCGAGTTTCATACTTTTTTTTTCTACTTGCATTACCATCAGCTAATTCCATTTGTATTATGAAGTCTTCAATTTTATTTACATCCCATTTAATAGTTCTTGGAATATTATAACTATTTATCAAATGTGTTACATTTACTCCTTTATGTATAATTGTTGAACCATTTCATGTATTTTTTTTGTTAAGTTTATAGACACGCGTTTTCGTTTTTCGAACATTTTATTTTACTAACATACACACACACACATACACGAGTACGATGAGTGCACAAAAACAGCCAAGTACCGATTGTATAGCGTGTAAAGTATACGTACACAAAGGTATTTAATACATATAAAATACATATTTAATACTTATATATACATAAAAGTTCGGCGTCGACCATCGTTACGTCCGCACGTATGTTTAAACTGTTGCTCCGCTATCGCTGTTTGTTTTTATCTAGATTATTCCAGTTTCCATATTTCTTATAACGTACTATCAAGCTTTTAATTATCTATTGTAGCTACGTCTACAGTCCGGCGTGCAGCCGTCGGTAGATTACCGAGGCTGGCTATCGCTTTTACGTATTTGAATTACGCAGATAACGACAATGGCTTCTCTGAACGCGGCATCCTCATGCAAACAATCAAAATCTAAAGATAAACTGTCATCTAATATAGAGAAAAACACCTACCAAGAAACCTCAATATACAGAGTGTGCCTAGTGACGTGTTCAACGGCTCACCTGAAAACGAATGTGATGTTTTCGAAACGCCAAAAAAAACCGCTAAGCGACATCTTTCCTCAACAAAATCCAATGGCCAGGAAACAGATAATAAAAAGCCTTTGTTTGCGACAACAAACAGATTTACTCCTCTTGCCACTAACGATCAAATAGATCCTTTCACCAGTCCACCGCAGGCTTCCTCCAACACTGATAACTGTGAAGCACCAACTAGAGCAAATTTACCTCCCCCAATAATTGTCCGTGGTGTACTTGACTTTATTAGCTTTCGTGATGAACTTGTAAGGCTAGTTGGTTCTGACAACTTCTTCTTTAAATCATCCATTAATGATTTAAAAATACAGTCAACTAAACCAGAATTTTACCGTGCCATTATCCACTTCCTAAAAGAACGTAAGGCACAATACCACACATATCAACCACGTGAAGAAAAAATCCTTCCGTGTTGTCATTCGCAACCTGCACCCATCAACACCAACGGCTGAAATAGGATTTGCCATCGAGGAATTAGGATATACTGTGCGCCAAGTAGCAAATGTTATCCACAAGATCACAAAAAATAAATTACCTATATTTTTCATCGACCTTGAACCGGCAGCAATAAACAAGGAAATTTTTAACCTAACGGTAGTACTTCATACAAAGGTAAAAATTGAAGAACCTCACAAAAGGAAAGACATTGTGCAGTGTCTCAACTGCCAAGAGTATGGCCACTCTAGGAAATATTGTGCCTATCCTCCGAGATGCGTACGCTGTGGGGAGCACCATCCATCATCTAGCTGCGGGAAGACTAGAGACACATCCGCACATGTGCTCTGTGCAAAGGCGACCATCCGGCCAACTACAAAGGTTGCCAGATCTACAAGCAAATCCACCAAATCTAATCATTCTCAAAAAGGCAAGGTACTCACTCGGCTAATTCTCATTATATAAATAAATTAAGTAACATAAATTGTAAAATCACCCAGCTACCAACGGCCGCAGTTAATCACCCACTACCCTCTCGTTCTTACGCCCAAGCNGACCATCCGGCCAACTACAAAGGTTGCCAGATCTACAAGCAAATCCACCAAATCCAATCATTCTCAAAAAGGCAAGGTACTCACTCGGCTAATTCTCATTATATATATTTATATATAAATAAATTAAGTAACACAAATTGTAAAATCACCCAGCTACCAACGGCCGCAGTTAATCACCCACTACCTTCTCGTTCTTACGCCCAAGCCACAAGCAGCCAAAATTTGCAATCACCTCCTACGGCCCAATCTAGCGATCTCTCCCCTTTAACCAATTTTATTAACGAATTTAAAGCTTTTATAAATCCACTTTTATCTCTCCTCACCACTGTTCTCGATCGCCTACTTACCCAAAATGTCAAATAGTCCTTTTACCTCATAATCTTTAATCATCCTATTATGGAATGCTAACGGTCTAGCAAACCACAGAAATGAATTAATAACAACTCTAAACGAAAAAAGAATCGACTTAGCTTTAATCTCAGAGACCCATTTTACCTCCAATACTAAATTTTTAATTCCTGGCTACACGACAATTCCAGCTAACCACCCTGATAACACGGCCCATGCAGGTGCAGCGATTTTCATCAGGTCATCTATTCAATTTACACCCCTTCCCAGTATTAATGAAGACTTCCTTCAAGCTGTAGCGATAAATATTAAATTAAACCACACCCCAATTACTATGGTGGCGTCATATTGCCCACCTAAACACAAAATTACGCAGACACAATTTGAAAATTTCTTTAACTCCTTAGGTCAATACTTCGTCATAGAGGGGGACTTAAATGCCAAACACCATTCATGGGGTTGTCATACATCTAACCCAAAAGGGAAATCTCTACTAAAAGCAATTAACAATAAGCAATTATCTGTTCTTGCCCCTCCTAACCCTACATACTGGCCTTCATCACTAAGAAAACGCCCGGATATTCTCGATATATTTGTTGTCCAAGTCCCTCCAAGATTGAATCATCTAGTTACAAACTTATTGGACCCGTGTTCCGACCATTCCCCAGTTCTCTTATGCTTAGACGCCTCACCTTATCTCCAACCTGGTAAACCATCACTGATAAATGGTGTTATGGACTGGGAAAATTTTCGTGATATAATTAATCAAAGAATAAAATTAAATATAAGTCTGAAATGTCCAAGTGATATCGATGACGCTGTTCTTAATTTTACTGAAATCATCCAGTCAGCTGCGTGGAACTCCACCGTCCACCGGAAGAAAAATGATAGCTCTAACCATTTGCTAATTCCTGCACATGTCCGCGAACTAATAACCCAAAAGAGGAGAGCCAGAGCCCGTTGGCAAAGAACAAGACTTCCATCTGACAAAAGTATTTATAATAAGCTAACCTGGTCACTTAAACGTATCCTGCAACATCTAAGGAACGAATCCTTTAATAACTGGATTGCATCCCTAACGACCAGGGACAACTCGCTCTGGAGAGCAACACGTAACTGTTTAAAACAAAAGTCCGCCCCAACTTCCTTAAAAAAATCCGATGGTACTTGGTGCAAATCAGATAAAGAGAAAGCTGAACTTTTCTGTTCTCACCTTTCGGAAGTTTTTAAGCCTCACCAACCAACTTCTAACGTCACCTTCTCGGAAACAATTGAAAACTCTCTTAATTCAGCCCTGCCACTTTATCTCGCCCCCAAACCTTTTTCACCAGGTGTGGTTCTTCGTTTTATAAATACGTTTCCACTGAAAAAGTCACCCGGTATAGACCTCATCACAGCTGAGGTAGCTCGACAACTGCCAAAGACGGCTTTAATTCACCTAACCCACATCTTAAACTCTATCTTGAGGCTATCGTACTTCCCCATTCAATGGAAAGTATCCCTTATAATCCTAATTCCCAAGCCTGGCAAACCTCCCGATACTCCATCATCTTATCGTCCAATAAGCTTACTTCCTTTCTTTGCAAAACTGTGTGAAAAAATGATCCTAAAACGAATATCCAATATAATTAACGACAAAAAAATTATCCCCTGCACGCAATTTGGCTTCCAAGACAAACATTCCACTATCCATCAGGTACACCGCCTTACTGACTCAATTGCCTACTCCTTAGAAACGAAGTCACACTGCTCAGCTGTCCTACTCGATGTTGCCCAAGCCTTTGACAGAGTCTGGCATCCTGGTCTCTTACACAAGCTGAAAATAATTCTCCCTCCACCGTATTATTTATTTTTTAAGTCATATCTCGAGGACAGATTCTTTGCCGTTAAAGTTGGCTCTGAAATCTCAAATTTGGCCCCAATCCTTGCTGGTGTTCCTCAAGGCGCCATCTCTTCTCCCATATTGTTTAACATATACACATCGGATCAACCAACCACTTCTCAAACTTCTGTAGCCGACTTCGCTGATGATAAAGTTATATATATTTCCGAAAAAAACCCATTTCTTGCCAGCCAATATTTGCAGAACCATCTAAACCTACTCTCTGATTGGTATTCCAATTGGAGAATTAAAATAAACAATGAAAAATCATCCCACATCACCTTCACTCTCAAACAATCCACAGTACCTCCAGTTTATTTAAACAATAAAGTTATTCCTTCCTCCTCTAATGTTAAATATTTGGGTCTCACTCTCGATAAACGACTTACCTGGGCCTTACATATTAAGCAGAAACGTCTCTTGCTAAATGCCAGACGAAGAGCGCTCTTCCCACTTATAGGAAGACAAGCAAAAACTGACCTAAAAACTAAACTGCTACTGTACAAAACCCTTCTCAAGCCAATTTGGTTATACGGTATCCAATTGTGGGGTGCAGCAAAAAAGTCTAATACTAACAAAATCCAAGCATTCCAATCGACCTCATTGCGAATGATTACAGGCGCTCCTCCGTATGTTTCAAACCACACCTTACATTCAGACTTAAAAATTTTAACTGTCAATGAAGAAGCCAAAAATGCCTATAGACTTTTCCGCGCGCGTCTTACAAACCACTCTAATCTACTAATCCGTGCCCTAAACTCCAATTCCATTCCAGGTAATCCACNAAAAAAAAAAAAAAAAAAAAAAAAAAAATATATACATAATATTTGAACATAAGTGATGATATATTACACGAAATATGATATAACTTATTATAGATAAAAATAATTGCGTGTATACCCATAATACGGACATACAATATTCTATTTTAATTATTTTTTTATTGTCACGGTACTATTTTTGGTGACGTATAACACAAAGTGACAGATAATCGAAGTTTTACTATATATATATAACAATAGTAACTTTTAATACAGAATTTAATACGAATTATTGTCTTATATATAAGTCTATTGTCATTATATTAGCTTAGAAGACTGCAGATAATATATTGTACAAATTCAGTAAAACAGTATAATTTAAGTTAAATTTTCATATTAAATAAATAATAATTAAAATAATGATAATATGAATAACAAAAATAATAATATTCCGAAAATACCATCTAGTTAATATGACAATATTTTATTTCAGAAAAGGTGTTACACTTCATATTGAAGCAAGATTTCTAGGAGACATTTTTGTGATATAAAAAAAAAGCATTTTAAATCTAATAGGTATATTCGTTACTACACTCAAAATCTAAAATGTATTGAATTAATCATTTCCTATTTTGATTATAAAAATATATTATTTTATTTTATCTTTGCAAATTGATTGTTCCCACTTAGTTTTATATAATTCTATCTCACCCTTGAGAGAATATTTATTGAAATGTATAAATAAAAAGTGTTTCAATCAGAGTATTTTCAAGATCCGAAATTATCTTTATGGCATTTGGAACCAGTTGCATTTGTACTTATTTGTACTTAATAATTATGGATATTTTATATAACAAAAAAGAACATCACACGGCTTATGGGGCGGTATTAAGCCTTTCTTTCTTTTCAATAAAAAAAAAAACAAGAAAAAAAGATGAATGGACTATAACCGATATATTTCACCCTTTACATACGTCACTGAATTGAGAATAACCTATGATGTGGAATTTATAGTTATATTTTTTTTTTCCGATGGTAAGGGATAACAATGTATTTTATTATAAAATATGTTAGTATAATAGTGATAAATATCAATGTTTTTTTGAATAACTTACAAAACAAAAAATTAATTATTCTTTATTCTTGCTAATTAATAAATCACTATAATTTTATGAAACGTGGTGTAGCAGTTATTATATTATGTTGACCGCCATGCATAACATTTTGCATATCTACCTATTATAATTATACAATTTATAATATCGATCGTCATATTATCATAATACAGATATTTACATAATCCGTAATACTGTCATTTTTTTTTCTACGCCTCAGCGTAATTTACAACGCCATTTGTGAGAAACCTACGAAACTTACAAATAATTTCCCTTTGAACTATAGTAAACATTTAATTTGCAATAAAAAAATATTAAGGTTATTAATCGAGATGAAAACTATCGTATTCTTTAAATTGTACCAAATCACACTCATTGAGTATAATCTTATCAAAATTGATTGATTATTTTCAATGTGCATCGTACATAAACTCGTCGTACGCGTGATTTATATACATAAAATAAATAAAGTATTGTTTTCTTTAATCTTTACCGTAAGCTATTTTGTGCTTACTCATACTAATTTCAAGACAAAATGTATTTTTATTTTTCAGTATTATAACCACTCAAATAGTTTTGTTTCCTTTTATAATTCAAAATGTAAATCGCTTACTACACCAATTTAGATGTACCTAATACATTGCAATCATTATGTTACGTAAACGTTTCACTGCACGCGGTTATACACACAGTTTACAGTTTTGGACACATTAATGACCACGTTGTAGAAGACTCGGAAAAGTACTCAACTCACCTGCAATCTCGATGATATATTATGATTACGTTCTGTATCACACGTATGAGTACCAGCTATTAGTAGTTTCTTTCATATTGGAATTCACGGTTTCGGCCCAATTCTTAAAATTAACACTAATTTTTTATTCAAAAATACGAATAACACAATGAAAAGCATACTTATAAAACTGCAATTGTTCTGTTTACAACACTATACATATACTGTATACGTTGTTCCCAAAAATTCACTCGTTATTATTGACCCTCTAAACTTGACTAGGAGAAGGGGTTAAATATCAGTAGGGTTAATAACCACTAGTGAAATTTCACCTCCCTTAGTAAAATATCAGGTGGTCAATAATCACTAGCACTCTGATCCAACTCCACTATTAATTTCATCAGTTTAGTCCTGGATTCCTGGTTTTAATTTCTTTTACAGAGCAGCAGAGAACTACTAACGTTATCCACGATATTCCACGATCGTTTTTTATTGTAGCAATATTACTGGTACAAATATAAAGCATAACAATTTAAAATAATAAAATCGTAAGTTGTAAATTTATCAGTTTTCATTTTTCGATTTTTTCTTTGGTTATTCCGAATTATTATGAAAAATACTTGGAAAATCAAAAAATGATTTTCTTCTTGAGAAACAAGATCCAAAGTTTAAAAAAAAAAGACCTCTTGTTATTTTTAATTGAAGAAAGATTTCTAGGAGAAAACATAAGTTATACAAATGTAAAATCATGAAATTGTTATGACACAGCGTAAATATTTATCAATTTACTTCTATTTTTTTCCTATACTTTTTTTCTTAGCTTTTTCCAATTATTATGAAAATCCGTTGGAAAATCAAAATACTAACTAGATAAAAATTCCTTTAGAAGAAGATATTATACTCTATACATCGGAGCAAGATTTCTTTTCGTTGTTTATAGACAGAAAATAATGCTTTTATTATTTTTAATTTTTTTTTTTTTGTCATTCAGTTATAAATATTCTTAAAGACTTGAAATTTGTACATTAAACAAATTAGTTTGAAAAAGTAGTATTATTGAAATCCTCAATAAAAAAGTTGTTTTCATCTGAGAAAATAAAGTTTTATTGGCTACAATCCCGGTTTTTTTTTTTGGTAGCGGTGGGAGGGGGGGTTATACTTAACTAATATACAATAATATTATAAATATTTGAGATTCAATTATTTTTTATATCCATACTAGTTGCGTCCTGTAAATAGTTATAAAAGCTAAACAATATTTTCGAATGGAATCGACTTTCTTTCAAATTTTTAGAAGCCAAAACTGATCAAATAACTTAAATGTATTGCTTTTTCAAAATTGGCAAAATAATCAAATACAGCACTGCAATTTATTAGAATACTATAATATTATACTGCGACCAACCAGTCAAAACAGCCTTGTAGGCCCGGGCCTACCCACTATTCACCAAAAATTAACAAAATTTTAAAAACAAACATTTGTATCAGTAGTTTTTCCTATTCAAATATTTATATTATTTTATCCAGCCTACGCTGGAAAATATTTCTAGCTACACCTCTGCGACCAACGTCAATAATATTATTAGCATAATAATAATTGCGATAAGAAAGTTAAGGAATAATTCGTTTCGTATATTATATACCATACCTATTATATACCTGTTATTTACCAGGTGCACACTATACAGTTTTACGTATAAATAATTATTTTTGTGCCATACTAACTACCATATTAATATAATAATAACGGTCTACATGGTTTCATAATATCGTAATAATAATTATATTATCGTCACTTCCGTTTCAGATATTTAGTCATTCACGATCTCCCCCTCTACCCCAAATAATCGTATTGTTTCAGATTTCTAAAACGATAAAATATAATAACGCAAGTACCCTGGTATACGTATCTTAATTGGCTGCACGTTGTTATTATTATATACTTATACGTGCCTAATACATTATAATGTACCTACCGATATAATATAATATAATACCTATGTCTAGCACGTGAAACGGGACGTTTTATGTTGTTGTTAAAACAAAAGCGACCAATGCGGTGGCAATCATCGGGTTACGGAAAAAGGATTGTTATTAGGACACGATATTACCATTAATGTTGTTCATTTCGCATTTATAATTTATTGAACTTTATTGGCCGTTTGTGCACGGGTATAATCCAGTAAACTGGTCGATAATTTATACGGCAATATTACGATAAGCCATGGATTATCGTAATGGGTTATCCATGCTCTTTGAAAAATGGATACATTAGAAGTTGAACGCAAAAGTGTAAAAAAAAAAGGCACGCAAATAGATTTAATAACGTTTATATTATTATATTATTGGTTTATATAACATATACTGACGTTAAGTTCATAAAGTTACATTGTGAAAAAATATTTTAAGGGAACGTTCAAGTATAGTTATAAAAAAGATAATCCATCCGCATTCAGTCCACATATTGAAGCATTGACTATCAAAGTCGGACTTAAGGGATGGGCGTTTAGACGACTATAGCAGAAAAATGTTGATATTCTAATTTGTTTGCAATTATTTCATTATTAATTGTATAACTCAAATAACTACTATTTTAAAAAGACGTCCGAGGATAATAGCGACGGGTACAGCCAGTGTTACAGATAATTTAATGTATACATGTAAGCAACGATAAACCATTGCTTACGAAAAAACGAATCTGAGTGGAGTTCAGTTGATAGTGATGCTTTGTCAATAATATATATGTAATTTTGTAGTAAAATAATTAAATAGACATTAGATAATATAAAGCGTGGTAAAAAAGCATACATAATAGTAAGTCGTAGTAGTCTATTATAAAAATCAATGTTAAAACCTTCAATACATATTTTTCACTCATTAAAAAAAGTGTAATATTATTATTATTCTGTGTGCTCCAAAACGTCCCGAAACTTATTTTGCATCATAGTGTTTTTCATCATTGTTTTTTATGGAACTAATGAAATTTATTATACGTGTAGTAATATTACATATTTTTTCATTTTTTATTACTAAATATAATAGTTTAATTGCCATATTTTTGTATATTACGCTTTACGCAGTACCTATAATATGTTCGTTAAATAATTCATTATAAACAATACTAATTGTATACATTATTATATATTACAGATACGTGTCAAAATAAT